GGGGTGACATCACAGCTGCCCCCTGGCTTCCGGGGCCCTCACGTGCGGACCCCAGGTCCCCCTGGGAGCCCGCTTCCCAGCCGCACGTGAGGGGCGAGGGCTCTGGGGCGCCCCAGGAGGCGTCTGCGGGGCAGCGTGTGTCCGCACATCACGCACCCGGGGCCTTCGCGCCCGCGGGCGGACGGGCTGATGAGCCGCAGGTGTCCCGGCCCCGCCGCCCTCGCCCTCGGGAGGCAGGTGCGTTAAGTAACAGGGGTGTAGCCACCTGGCGGGTGTTGTGCGGCTGCAGGGAAGGTGCAACACGGAGAGCTCTCCGGGATACATTGTTACAGACAAACGGCAAGTGCAGAACAGTGTAGACGCCTTTTTACTCACATTTGTATCAAGAAACATGAAGGTGCTCTAGCCGGTTGCTCAGTGGTTAGAGCGCCCTGGGTTTGATTCCGGCCAAGGGCGCGTTCTCTCCGTTACAGGCTCCATCCCTGCCCGGGTTGGGCGTGTGCGGGAGGCAACCAATTGATGTGTCTCTCTCTCTCTCTCTCTCATATCGATCGATGTTTCTCTCTCTCCCTTCCACTCTGAACAGCAGTATCCCCAGGTGAAGATTAAAAACAAAACCAGGTCCTGTCCTGTTGTCCGCCACCCATCTGCTTCCTCCTGAATTCCCTCTCTTGGTAACTGGCATGTCCCTCTCACCAGCCACCCCACCCCTGAGCTACCTGGAGGCCACCTTAGGGAGTGTCCTCTCTTTCTTCGCCACCCTCACATCCAACCAGATTCTGAGGAAACCGCCAAACCAGCCTCTTGTCTGTCCCTCTGCCACTGACATAGTTCAGCATGTGTTTTCCATCTCTAATCCTGTTCCCTTCCAGCGGTTTCCTATTTTGCTTCCAAAAGTGTTAAGTGACCACTCCGACCACATTGCTCCCTATGCCCGCCCCCCATGGCTCCTGCTGGGGGGTCAGTGGGGGCAGCATGGGTCTTCAGAATCTTGTTTGTCCACACAGATCCAGGGAAAAGCCCCGAGGCTGAAAAATCTACCTCTGTAAGCAGCAGAGGGCAGGGAAAGACCCAAGAAAGGCTGGCCATTGAGAGAGTTAATTCAGGGACACTTACGAGGTGCGAGATGGAGTGGGCATCTTCCGTGCCACGTGACAGATGCCAAAGGACTATATAGGACAGGGCCGTAGGGGTGCTATGGGATCGGTCCCGGGTGTGGGAAAATGCCTTACATGCTTGCCCGAGTCAGGACGAGGCCTGTTCCAGGAACCCGCACCCATGGGATACGGGAGAGGCGCTGGTTGTGTCAGCAGGAAAGCAGGCCTTAGGACCGGCAGCCCCTGGGGGTTACGGGAAGCATCCTCTGCTCTGGCCCCGGGCTAGCCCATGGGCACCGCAGTGGTCATGGCATGGAACAGCCTCTCCTCCCCAGAATTAGACCCAGGGCCCCTCACCCCGTCCTCCGCCCTTCCCCACTCTAGAACCCTGCGCTCTGGCGCAGGAGCCAACCCCAGAGCCTGAAAAGCAGCTCCAGGTCTCAAGGGAGCGGCGATGGGCATCTCAGCACACGAGGCCTCCTGCGCCTCAGGAGCCTGCTGGTCACAGGTCTGTCCTTGCGTTGTTTCCCGCCCCCCCACCTCCTGCGAGCACCAGGCTGTTAGAACTGACACTCCTTAGCGACAGCGTCCTCGCGGATGCCGTCTGCTTGAGGACAACTTCTGTGACCCTGTGCTTCTCTCTGGTTGGATTTAGATGCCTTTTTCTTGGTCCATTCCTTGTCGCAATCTGTGCTGATATCTAGGTAAAACTTAGCTGCTTATTTCTCCATCTGGCCACCAAACTAGGAGCTCATTAAGCAGAGAAACTGCTTTTTGTCTCTGTATCCTAAGTGCTTAAATATGGTGCCTGGGCAGAGGAGGTACTTAAGAGTAATTAATGAATGATTCATTCATTAATGAGGGAACAAGTGAGTGACCCATTGCACGTAAGACCCTTATGCTTCGTACAGTGAGAGGGGAATTAGGTAGAGACCGGACCCTGAGCGTACTGTTTTTCTTCTTTGCAGCTCACAGTTTACCAGGAAGGAACTTTTTGCATGTTTTAGAATCCCTTCCTCAAATGTCCATTCTTATTGTTAATATACAAGAACAGGGTTAGGTGGCTGCACCTAAGAAGAATTTTTTTTTAAGAGAAGTAGTGATAGGTAAGAGAAATGTTTTCCAATTCCCTGGAGGAGATTCATGCGAAAGAAAGTGGGTTAAATTGGTTAACATCGAAGATTACTCCCAGCTCTCACATCCTGTGATTTAATTATCTGTGTGAGTGCCAGACACCAGGGCAAAAATACAAATAAAACACAGTTCTTGTCCATTAGACACTTTAACCTTTGACCATGGATGGTTTTTTAAAAAATCTTCAGTTTGTGCTTTTTTGAGTAAGAATGCTTATGTGTGTGTGTAGACATACATATGTATTCATATATATATACACACACATATGGCTACGTGCAGTTTATGTATTATGAGTTAATAACCTTTGTTCATGTTTATACTGTAGTATTCTTAAAATTTTTTAAACTTTATCCATACAGTTTTTATAAAATATTCTAGTTCTTTGTTATAAATACTACAATACATTTTTCAGTTTTCCATTTGTCTTCCTAAAGGCCTTTCTCATTTTACAGTTGTACAAATATTTGTCTTTATTTTTTTCTAGTATTTTTATGGTTTCATTTTTTCTCAAAACAAAAATAAAAACAAAAAAACAACCACCCCTCTAATCCATTGAGAATTTGCTTTTGTGTATGGCATGAGGTCGGAATCTGACTTTATTTTTTCCAGATGATTAGCCAGTGGTTCTAGCACCATTTATTGAATGGTCTATAGTTCATTCATTGAATACAGTCCTTTATATCTTCCAATGTGTCTCTTCTTTCTTCCTCCATCTGAAGAGTGACTGGGCCTTCATTTATGGGTTAAAAAGTGACAGTTAGCTATTTTCCATTTATGAATAGGGGAAACCACAGAGTGTAGAGAAAAAGCGTACTTGACTGTTTGGAGAAGTGGTCATAAGTAAGATACAAAGTGCTGTTCCTTAAGTATTTCCAGGTCTCTCCCTTCCAAATACTTGGTGTAGGAGTGTATTTCCTGATCATCATGATTGGCTGAAGCCATGTGACTCGTGCTAATAAATTGTGAGTCGACGTGATGTGTGTCAGTTTGGGGGCCAGAGCACTTAATAGTTTGTGTGAGACTTTCCAGATGACGACTGACAGTGCCCGAGATGGTGGCTGCCCCTTCGGTCTGCATCCCTGAATGACTGATGGCAAAGCTCTCCTGTCCTCCTACATTGGACACGTGGTGTGAGAAATAAACCTTTATTGTTATAAGCCGGCAAGATTTAGAGGCTGTTTGTTTCTGAAGCATAGCCTCGCCTGTCCTGACTTAGACACATATTCCCTCTCAGTATTTCAGTTTGGTTTCTTTGTCATCTACTGAACTCAAGCTAGAGGATTTTCTAGAGAGAAGGTATTTTTGCATGTATCTGATTGATAGTAGGGAGAAATCAGGTAATTTTAGGAAATAAAAAGTCACAAAATAACTTATTTAATTTGGGTGTCACATTATCNCTGAACTCAAGCTAGAGGATTTTCTAGAGAGAAGGTATTTTTGCATGTATGCTGATTGATAATAGGGAGAAACCAGGTAATTTTAGGAAATAAAAAGTCACAAAATAACAACTTATTTAATTTGGGTGTCACATTATCTTCCCAGGTAATCTGGAGTTCTCAAAATGTTTGCCAAGGCAACAAGGAATTTTCTTCGAGAAGTCGATGATGGAGGCAACCTGATTGCAGTATCGAACCTGAATGACTCAGATAAGTTGCAACTTCTCAGTCTGGTGACCAAAAAAACCAGATTCTGGTGCTGGCAGAGACCCAAATACCAGTCTTTATCCGTCACCCTTGGAGATGTGCTTACGGAAGACCAATTTCTGAGTCCAGGTAGGTTTCTTTTTCTATTTTACAACTAATCCCAGAACAAAAGAGGATGATTCTTCTAGACACATGTTGTCTTGAGGGGATTATAAGGCGATACCTCATGATTTCTCCTGTTTCTTTGCCCACGGCCTTAAAAACGTCTTTTTTTCTTCAAATGGCAAAATTCTGCAGACCTGACATGAAAGGTTATAGCTTAATTTTTAAAAAACAAATTGCAGTGTTGGGTTTGAAAGTGAGACATGCCCATTGTTGATGCTGTGATCACTCAACATAAGTGGGGTGAATATACTCCCCCCCCCAAATCTGGTTTGGTGTTGAGGTTGATGATGCCACCATCGGGAGGGTGTGAACTTTTATTGCTCATATAGTGAAGCTTTCTGGGGAGAGCATGGCAGGCTCCCAAGCTGGTCCAAAAATAGCCAGAGAGCAGGGGAAAGGAAGGAGTCAGCTTCCATTGTGATGAAGAGGTGGGGGGAGGGTCCTTCTGCATGTGGCCTGGGGCTTGCAAGGTTTGAACTTCCTGCCAGTGACAATAGAGGGAGAACCTGGATTTTCTGACCAGCTTGCCCAGGTGTGTAACAGAGAGGGAAGAGAGTGGTGGGCTTGAACACTGTCAACAGTAAACATCAGGAATGGAGTCAGACTCCTTATGACGGTCGAATATTTANTGGGCTTGAACACTGTCAACAGTAAACATCAGGAATGGAGTCAGACTCCTTATGACAGTCGAATATTTATAAAATATTAAAACACATGAAAATAAACCAACAAAAATTCTACCAATTCTGCCATCAAGTGTTAATTCCCATCAGTTCTGGGATTATAGTCTTTTTCCCCTCTGCATCTAATTTTTTAAAAACCAAATTGGAAAATTATATTACATATAATTTTTATATACTCTTTGTTTTTTATTTAACCTGATATAAGTTTTCCTTCACAGGTTTAAATACTTTCAAATCCTGTTTTCAACAAACACATAATATTCCCTTTTGTGTTCCTACCTTACTTTGCTTAACTGTTTTAACTGAGTGCCTAATAAATCAGGCAGCAATGAACACTTTGATCTGAATTTTTGTTGTGTTTATTTCCTTTAAGCAATTGCTTTAGCATAGATTCTTAAAGACAGAATTAATGGACCGGAGGTTGGGGATTTTTGAAGGTTTGGTACTGGCCACTGCGCTACTTTTTGGAACGTGGTGATACGTGAAAGTAGCAGCAGCAGCCTTGTTGTTGTGAATCATCACCTGAGGAGGCTATTTTTTCCATTGAATTTAAGAGAGAGAGTAGGAGGGAGGGAGGGGGGGGAGAGAGAGCAAGACAGACAGACATAGATGTGAGGGAGACATTGATCGGTTGCCTCCCGCAAGCGCCCCGACCGGACCGGGAACCAAACCCAAGGTGCACGGGCCAGCACTCTAACCACTGAGCCACACCAGCCTGGGCTTGTCATCAGCTCCCTAACTTCGTGAGCGCATCTCTATTGAAGGGGAGAAGAATGAGAGGAGACCATTTGCGTTGACAGGTGATCTCCAGGCTTCCCTCCAGGCCAGCTTCCCGCCAGTGCTTTCCCCACCCAGGCTCGTGATCAGAGCCGTCACGCAGCGGGCAAATGCGTGGATACTCATTTAATGTCATCTCCCCCCGCCCGGGGTTTCTGGTAGCACTTCTGTTGAGGGTCAAGAGAGAACAAAAATTCACAGAATAGTCCATGAGCCCCTGAGTCTTCGGAATCTCACTGCTCTGTGCTCTTGAGGTGCCTCTTTGGTGGGGTCCTGAAAATTCATGGAGACGTGTTAAACGGGTGACATCGCTGCAGGTGAAGAAGCCTCAGACACGCTCATCACCTGCGCCCAGGGCTCACCCCTGGTCCTGGGGCCTGTTGGTATCAGGGCTCTGATGAGAGGTCCTCTGCCTTGTCGACAAGCTGATCCAGGATGCTCCCCCCACTTTGTAATTTCTTGGCACTCGCAGTGACACTGGAGCGCTTGCATTGCCCAAGGATGCAAAGGATGGAGGGGGGGACTTGTTTGTGGTCTCAGTGGTGGCCTGTTGGCTTCCTCACGCCTTCCCGTCCACCAGCGGCAGTTGATGACTCGAGGCAGAAGTGTGCACAAATGCTGCCTTTTTTGGAAGTGTGTCTAGCGTGGCTGTTTGGAATATATAGACAGTCTTGGTTGTCCTCACCTGCTGTGGGGTCCACTCTTGGGGACAGTTTCCAAGAGTGATAATAACCTGATTGAGACCAGAACCATGACCTGAAGATAGAATTTCTGTCTGTGTAGCACTCTGTACATTCGAGGACTGTCCTGTTTATTAGAAATGACACTGTTTTGGCCTAAACCCAGTGGACAGACTGAGCACCTGCTGTGTGCCAGGCTCTGTTTTACATGCTTTACATACATGGACTTGAAACAGAATCCATGTGGCAAGCCTGAGGTGCAAGAAGATGGATATGACCCAAGGGCTCTTGCTAGGAAGATTAGTGATAAAATCTTGAGCTCTTAACACTGCTCTGTGCTGCTTCCTAAAGCACTCCCCAAAGTGTATTCCACAAGGTTGAACAGAAAAAGGTTTTGAATTAGGGGTATTTTCACGGGCTTCCTATTTTTGGTGGTTGTGGCGGAGATGATTCTCTACTTTGTAAATGTCAGAGACGATGAATGGTGATGATTATCACTACCCCTGGCTGAGGAATGGATTTTCTCGACTGGAGTGAGAGAAACACAGGTGCTGGAGCAGTGAGTGGATGGAAGGAAGGAAGCCTTTCAGACTCCATGTGGATCTGAATTTTTTACGAAGTCCCACCAGGAGCCTTGGGTCAAGGAAATGGAAAACACCAAGTGTTCAGTTCCTAAGAGACTCTCAGCGTATGTCATGGAGTGATGATGACTGAGACTGTTTTTATGGTGGTATTTGGTGGGATGAAAAATCTAAGCAGTAGAAATCTGGAGACTGGCAGTTCAGGAATGAGATCATTAGATATTTATCTATAGTGTTCAGATAAGAAGGGCAGATCTCGAAGGCAATCAGGAGCAGTCACCTGCATATGACCAGGTGAGGAACATGGCAGTTCCCAGGAGGCTTGATTGAAGCTAGGACACCAGATGGGTGGTCTCACCTTCCTTAGTGTCTGGGGAGCCGGGAGGAAGAATGGAGAGTCTGGGGCTTGTGTGTTCCAGGACGGTGATTGAGGGAGGGAGAAAGGGCATGCCCACTGGTTATCAGAAAGAGATAAGGACTTGCAGGCCTAGGCATTGAGTAACTGGGTAGAGGTCAGATACAAACAGATAAGCCTGGGAAGGGAATTATTTGCAGGGAGATGGCAATGAAGGTCAGGAGAATGTTCTCCAAGATTGCTGGGTGGGAAGGGAGATCCCCAAAGATAAGGACAGGTGGCCAACCTGCCAGGTCCTGAGTAAGCAGGGCACTCAAGTGTGTGTCCTGGGCTGGGCCTGCTCTTTTTTTCTGTTTTTGTGTCATCTAGTCCCTTCACCCTGGAAAAGCACACATTTAAAATGTTCTATTTCTTCACCAGGATAGTGGTTAAATGAATGCTTACTTTTAACCCTTTGCGGTCATTTGTCCACTCTCAGCCACCAAAGCTTTTTTACCGTTCCGGTCGTATGTCTGCTCTCATCCACCACAGCAAGGAACCGTACGAATCTTAACTCTCTTCATTCATGTATCAGTTCATAATTTCTCTCGTTTATCCTTCATAATCTTGCATGTTATGTATCACTGCTCTTTCAATGGAAATTAACTCCGACCAGTACGACACCCATGTCCAAATTTAATACGGCCGCAAAGGGTTAAAATATTCATTAAATTCTACAGATACTATGTGTGTACTTGCTTATACATGTGTGAACTGTGTGAACTGAAAGATGAAAAAACAAAAAAGCCCCCAGCAGAGCCCCTGGTCATGCATTCACGCCAGCTCTCAGCACCCAGGTGTGCCGGTGCCCTTTTCTTGTGCCCTTTTCTTGTGCCCTTTTCTTGAGGCCACCTTTCCCTTTTGGATGCAAGCCTTATGTTTCCCACGGATCTCCATAGGATTGGAAAGCTAGGTGACCTCAGGCACAGAGGTGGCCGTATCATCATCAGATCCCCTTGCATGTCTCGTTCACTCCAGTGGTCGTGGAGTCGGACTTTGTGAAATATGAGGGCAAGTTTCAAAACCATGTGAGTGGGACCGTCGAGACGGCACTGGGGAAAGTCAAGCTGAACGTTGGAGGCAAAGGCCTGGTGGAGAGTCAGTCTTCATTTGGAAACCTGAGGAAGCAGGAGGTGGACTTGCAGCAGCTCCTTGGACATGCCGTTGACAGGTAAGAATTGTGTTTGGCACTTTGCATTTTGACATCTCTCACACTTAAAGTTGGATCTTTGTTAAAATTATATATGGTATTAGTCTTTTTCTGTCTGACTTATTTCACTTAGCGTGAAATACCCTTCTAGATCCACCCATCTTATTGCAAATGGCAAGATTTCGTTCTTTTTAACGGCTCAGTAGTATTCCATTGTATATACGTACCACACCCGCAAGTGGACACTTAGGTTTCTTTCAGTGAACACAGGGTGCGTATGTCTTTTCTAATTAGCGTTTTGCATTTCTTCAGATAAATACTCAGAAGGGGAATTGCTGGGTCATGTGGTAGCTCCATTTTTAATTTTTTGAGGAACCTCCATACTGTGTTCTGTAGTGGCTACATGAATTTACAATCCCACAAACAGTGTATGAGGCTCCCTTTTCTCCATATCTTCACCTCAATTGTTTGTTGATTCATTGATGATAGCCTTTCTGACAGGTGTGAAGTGATATCTCATTATGAATAATTTGCATTTCCCTGATGATTAGTGATGTTGAGCATCTTTTCATATGTTCATTGGCCATCTGTATGTCCTCTGGAGAAATGTCTATTCAGGTCCTCTGCCCACTTTTAAATTGGATTGTTTGCTTTGGGGTGTTAAGTTGTATGAGCTACTTATATATTTTGGATATTAACTTCTTATCAGACGTATCGTTGGTGAAATTCTTCCATTCAGTAGGTTGTCTTCTTTTTTTTCTTTTTTTTTTAAATATATCTTTATTGATTTCAGAGAGAGGAAAGGAGAGGGAGAGAGAGACAACAATAATGAGTCATTGATCAAGCCCGCAACTGGGCATGTGCCCTGACTGGGAATCAAACCCCGATCGCCTGGATCCTAGGTCGATCGATACTCAGCGGCTGAGCCACGCCCGGCCGGGCTTGTCTTTTTGTTTTTTGATGGTTTCCTTTGCTGTGCAAAACCTTTTTAGTTTGATGTAATCACATTTCTTTGTTTGTTTTTCCTTCTGTTTCCCTTGCCGGATGAGACATATCCAAAAAAAAATCACTAAGAGAAATGTCAGAGAGTTTACTGCCTATGTTTTCTTCTAGGATTTTTATGGTTTTGGGTCTTACATTTAAGTGTTTAATCCATTTTGAGTTTATTCTTGTACATGGTGTAAGAAAGTGATCCAGTTTCATTCTTTTGTGTGTATCTGTCCAGTTTTCTCAACACCATTTATTGAATACTGTCTTTAACCCCATTGTATATTCTTGCCTCCTCTGTCAGAGATCAATGAACCATATAGGTGTGGGTTTATTTCTGGCCTCTTTATTCTGTCTGTTTATATGCCAATACCATGCTATTTTGATTACTATGGCCTTGTAGTATAGTTTGATATCAGGTAGTGTGATACCTCCAGCTTTGTTCTTTTTTCTCAAGATTGCTGTGGCTAATCAGGATCTTTTGTGGTTCTATATAAATTCTTGGATTATTTGTTCTAGTTCTGTGAAAAAAAGCCATCGGGACTTCAAACTTATATGCATATATCCATAACCCATGGACAGACAATCGTGCGATGAAGGCCTGGGGAGGGGGTAGGAGCAGGGTGGAGGGGGTCAATGGGAAAAAAAAGGGGGACATCTGCAATACTTTCAACATTAAAGATATTTTTAAAAAGGAAAATAAAACATTGATATTTCTATAGGGATTGCATTGAATCTGTAGATTCCTTTGGGTAGTATGAACATATTAACAAAGATTAGTCTTGCTATCCATAAACATGGTATATCTTTCCACTTATTTTTATCTCCTTCAATTTCTTTCTTTAATGTTTTATAATTTTTCAAGTACAGTTGTGGTTTTTTTTTTTGCCAGCTTGGTTAAATTTGTTTCTAGGTGTTTCTTTTTCATGTCATTGTAAATGGGATTGTCTTCTGTCTCTCTCTCTCTCCCTCTCTCCCCACCTCCCTCCTCTCTCCATCAGAAGCAATGGAAAAAATATCCTTGGGTGAAGATTAAAAAGAAAAAGAAAATGCTTTCAGCTTTTCACCATTGAGTATGATGTTAGCGGTGGGTTTGTAACATGTGGCCTTTTAAATCATAAATGGAGGCTAGATTTTGTCAAATACCTTTTCTGCATCTATTGATATATACTCATGATTTGTATCCTTTTGTTTATGCGGTGTATCATGTTAATTTATTTGCAGACATTGAACAAGCGTTGCATCCTGGGAATAAATCTTAATTGCTCATAGTGTATGATCATTTTAATGTATTGCTGAATTCAGTTTACTGATATTCTGTTGAGGATTTTTGCATCTATGCTTATCAGGGATATTGGCCTGTAATTATTGTTGTTTTTTTGGGTTTTTTTTTTTTTAGAAACTTTGTCTGGTTTTGATAATGCTGGCCTCATAAAATGAGCCTGGGAGCCTTCCCTCCTCTTTAACTTTTGGAATAGTTTGAGAAGGAAAGGTATTAATTCTTCTTTCAGTGTTTGGTAAAATTCATCAATGCAGCCATCTGGTCTAGGGCTTTTGTTTGTTGGGAGTTTTTTGATTACTGATTCAAGTTTGTGAGTAATCATTGGTCTTTTCAGATTTTCAGTTTCTTCCTGCTTCAGCCTTGGAAGATTGTATGTTTCTAGGAATTTATCCATTTCTTCCAGGTTGTCCACTTTGTTGGCATAGAATTTTTCATAGTATTTCCTTATAACCCTTTGTATTTCTGTGATGTTGGTTGTCGCTTCTCTTTCATTTCTGATTTTATTTATTTAGGCCCTCTATTTTTCTTGATGAGTCTGGCTAAAGGTTTATCAATTTTGTTTATATTTTCAAAATACCAGCTTTTGGTTTCACTGATCTTCTGTATTGTTTGTTTTTGGACTCTATTTTGTTTACTTTCACTCTGATCTTTATTAGTTCCTTCCTTCTGCCCATTTGGGGCTTTGTTTGTTGTTCCTGTTCCAGTTCCTTTAGGTATAAGGTTAGGTTGTGTATTTGAGATTTTTCTTGTTTCTTGACATAGCCTGTATTGCTCTAAATTTCCCTCTTGGGACTGCTTTGTCTGTGTCCCATAGACTTCATGTTGTGTTTTCATTTTCATCTGTCTCTGGCATCTTGTGATGTCTCCCTGACCTCGTGGTTAGCTTATTTATTGTTAGGTAGCGTGTTATTTAGCCTCCATGTGTTTGTGCATTTTTAATTTTTCTTCTTGTAATTGGAGAAGCTCATTCTTTAGTCTGGAATTTTTGAACCGATCCTAACCTGAAGGGAGAGACTTGAGAAGCACTTTCAAAAGATGTTACTTCAGGCAAATACACACATTTTTAAAATCATAGGATTTATAAAATGCCAACAGCAAGAAGGCTCTGTCCTGTTTTTGAATATTAATATCAGAAGCAAGAAAGTCACAAAGCCCTCTGGCTCTTCTGATTAAGAAAAGAAGGTGGCAAGTGAGAGGCTTCAGGGGATGAGCTGGTTTTCAACTTTGAGATCTTGGGGGAAACCCCACATTTATTCATTGTTTGACTTTCAGTAAATACGTTTTACCTCAGTATAACTCAAAATATAGCAGAGAAGGGGGATAGGGCGTGACAAATAGGGGCTATGATTTGAAAAAGTGGCCAGAGAAGGCATCCTGGAGAAGTTGCCATTGGAACAAAGACTTTTCAGTTGGGGTGGAGTGAGCATAGGGGTATCCTGGGCAGCAGTGTTGCAGGCAGAGGCCAGTGTGGCTGGACTGGAGTAAGCCAGGCAAGAGGAAGTGAGGTCAGGGGGTAAAAGGAGTGGGTGGCAGGTGCGGTAGGACCTTGCTGGCCACTGGAAAGACTAACCCTTACTTGGAGTGAGATGGAAAGCCACTGGAAGACCTTGAGGAGGGAAGCGACGTTGTCTGACTTACATTTTAGAAGGCTTGTTCTGGCTGCTGGGTTGAGACTGGATGGGCAGAAGCAGGGAGTACAATTGGGAGGTTACTGCAATAATCCTGGCAAGAGATGATATTTCAGTTTGTACGGTAACGTAAGTGCATTTCCATGTATAATTGTATCACTCTTTTTCTTTTAAAACAGAAAATGCAAACCCAAATAACTAAGAGAAAACTCACCCATGTTTAAGTATGGGTGGCTTATCTCTTTCCAACACTCTTAGGGTTATATGAAATATAAAATACATTCACTCATGAAATGAAATCATGTTTAAAAAAATACCATTAAACTCAGGTATCAAGCATTTGGTGCACAGATTTTGTATAGACGCTGAGGATGCTTGGGCTCCTGCAGTCTTCAAATCCCATCCCCTCTCTGATAGCCTATGATGCTGCTTTTTTTTTTTTATCTTCACCCGAAGATATTTTTCCATTGCTTTTTCAGAGAGAGTGGAAGGGGGAGAGAGAGAGAGAAAGAAACACCGATGTGAGAGAGACATCGACAGGTTGCCTCCCTCACTCGCCCCTACTGGGCCTGGGATCCAGCCTGCAACCGAGGTATGTGCCCCTTGGCCGGAATCGAACCCAGGACCCTTCAGTCCGAGGGCCAACGCTCTAACCACTGAGCCAAACCGGCCAGGGCCTGTGATGCTTAATGGAGTTGAAAGGCCATGGCTGGTATTTGACTGTTGCCCCCTGGCACTTGCTAGGGCTCCAGGACTCCACTGAGTCAGGACTCCAGCAGGAATTTCCTTTCGGGCAGAGAACTTGAAGCTCTCTCTGATGACATCAGGAGGGAGGGACAGCTATCTCTTTCTCTGACAGTCATGATCTTAATTTTCCTTTATCTACCATTTTCTTCTTTGCTAGAGAGGCATTTTACTTGCCTAAGACAATACTTGGGACATATTAGAAAAATGTTTGTTTCTCTGAAGATAAAATTTAACTTGGCATCCTGCATTTTATTGGCTAAGTGTGGCAGTAAGGGGAAGAGGGACAGGAGGGCTGCCGGCCTCCAGGGGACTCTTGCCCCCCCCCCCATCTTCAGACAGCCCCTCTAGGGCTTCACCCGTTTTGCAGCCTTGCTGTT